CCACCAAATGTGAGAAGACATACTTTACATTAAAAGTGTTTCAAGTTTCAGAAAAAAAAAACGGTAAGTTATTTTCTTTTGTGAGAGTGATATCCATTTCTATGTGCTTCCTGTGTGAGAAAGCAGGCCTGCTTTGGCCAGGGGCACCTCTCCTCTCCACCTGCTGAAGGGCGTGTCTGTCCTACAGACATCTCAGCTGGCACCAAGACCTGCTCACCACAGCAGAAGCACATGAGGGTGGGCCCAGAGAAGCTGACATTCATTGAAAGTCTTTAGTCTTCCAACTTTTTGGATTTTCATTCTTGCTTTGATTTAAATGTTACAGTATTGGCTCTGTATGTGTTTGTGTATGTGTGTGTATGCACATGAATGTGTGTGCACATTTCATGAGCACTCCCATGCTCTTCCACCCTGGGTTCACCTTCTTCATTCCACATGGGAGGTTCTCTTTTACTCAGCTGACAATAAAAATTTTTTAGAAGATTTGATGAAATCCCGGTATAAGGCTTAATGTCTCCTATTAAGCCCTGTATCATTTTTCAAGTCTGCATTACAGTTTTGTTCTTAGAATGATTTTAAATGTATAGTAGACGKAAGATAATAATAAAAATAATACATTTAATTACAATCTAATTAAAGTACGTACAGTAGTCCTAAGCCATAAGGAAGCAGAGTAAGACCTCTGAGTGGCAGAGATTGTATTTTATGTAGCTGATGGTGCTRTGTGTGACTATGAATATACGTCCCCCAGAAACCATAACAGAGCTGGATACAAGCTGCTTGGAAACTGCTTGTTAATTGATTCAGTGATTGAAATCTGAGTTTTTGTAAATGCCATATTTACTTAAATAATTTCCCCACTTTTTCCCATTATTTTTACAAGCATTTGGGTCCCAGTTTCCCGTTGCCTTCAAGAATCGCCCTCTGGGGAATCTCTGATTTACTAAACAACAGTAACTTTAATAAAGTGCAGCAGCAACCAGCGGCAATGTTAATTAGAATTGAGATCTCCTGACATGTTTGCTTTACTTCAGCAATCCTTCAGTCCTCACAAGAGCCATTAGAATACCATTTCAAGTGGCTAAACTACTTTTGGTAAAGTAACTGTCTGTGACTGGTAGAAGTTTGTATGTGTATGTATGCGAGTGATGGTGGTGGTGGGGGGGGGGAGAGAGAGAGAGAGAGAGAGAGAGAGAGAGAGAGAGAGAGAGAGAGAGAGAGAATTGAAAAAAGGAAAGAGGAGTTCACATGTGGAATCTTCCTTCCTCTCTGGGTTGGGTGTGGTGTTGACACCTATGTGGCTTAGGCAGAAGGTGACAGATTACTGTTCTGGTGTTTCTTGTAGGGAATGAGTTGTTCAGTGGCCCAGTGACCAGAGATAATAAAGAAGAAGTGTAAAGAAGAAGGAAAAACAATTCTTATTCTCCTCTGTTCCACAATAGCAAGTTCAAAATGCCATCTTCACCTACAAAGACAGTTAACTTCAGATTCTCTATTTTATATATTCTCACTAGAGGAATTATGGCATTTATTAGGACAGAATTGGCACATTTTTCATTCTTTCTCTTCAAAATAATTAAATCTAACAACACAATAAATGTTTTTCCCTTTTCTCCATTTCTTCCTCAAAAGTGGTAGAAGGATCAACTACAGAACCAAGTAATGACAAAGATCATTGAGTAGCTCTTTCAAGACACTCTGACTTGCAGTGACATTAAGTATGTGACCACATTGTCTCAACATTTGGAATCTTTTAGGGATACAACAACTTGATAACACAATTTTTAACAAAAATATTTTCTTCCTCCACCTTTATCTAACTGTCTCAGAATCTAAAGCAGGGAGCATGAGGGACTGAAAATATTTTTGTCATTTCTTCTGGTTAGTAGACAATTTATTGCTCTATAAACAGAGCTAAAGACTCAGAAGAGCAGACTTTAGATGCTGTAAAACAAAACAGAAGCTTCAGGGGTTTGAGGCAAAAGAAAGTAAAACTATGGTATAATTGCTTACACTCTGAATTTCTTCGAAGATTCATGTCAAAGTGTTGGAGACACTAAAGGTTTATATTTACCAATTTTTATGCAGCTTATTAAGTGTTCAGTAAGGGTTTCATTACAGATTAGGTCTGTAATGCAACATTGACTTCCATGGTTATCATACCTTTGAGATTGAATTGAACCACAACCCATTGGCTTTCCTGGGCTTTCAACTTACAGGTGGCAGATCATAGGACTTTCAAGCCTATCTAATTATGTGAGCCAACTCCTCATGTAAGTGTGTCATTTCAATTCATCCCCCAGATTCTTCTGTTTTTGCACTCATGTGAAATGTTTGGATTTCCCAGGATCTCCGCTCAATTTCTTTCTCATTTCAGTTTTCTTCTCTTCTAATTTGGGCTTTTCCAGTTTACTTTCTAATCACTACAAAGTTCTCTAGTCCCACTACTGAGCCACACCTCATCTCCCTGACTTCAGTCCTATGATTCCAATTGTCTTCTCAATTATATGTCCAGAGCATGTCCAAGTGTATTCATGGTCAAAATTTAAGTTCTGACATTCCCTTCTAAACCTTGTTCCATGTTTCATATGGACTATCCTTGTCTCAGTAAATGGCCTTCCCTATCACCCACATTTGAAGCCTTGGAGTGCTCACTGAGTCTTCTATGATGCAAACCAAATTGAATTATTCCTACCTTTAAAAAATCCTTTACATAATGGTCAAAACCTAATAATGATGTGGCAGACATTGTCCATTGCTTATGCCCCTTATGCCTGCAAATACACTGTTGTTATTTATAGATATCAGATAGAAAATCTTGATTTAGAGGGGAAAAGGATTTGAAGAAGCCCAGGAAGTCCCATCCCTTTCACTAAGTGGTTGGTCTCAGAAGCATGTTTCCAATTTCTGATCAATTAGATGAAAGGGACAGAGTCTGCTGGGGCATCATGCCCAAAAACATGTGTTCAGCTGAGATCATGAAAACAATCTTCAAGGGTAGCAGAAGAGGAAATGGAGAAAAATAGAGCACACACAGTTCCTGGGTCCTTGATGATATCCTTGACCCACTGCAAAACAGCTGCACAGTTGACCTCCAAACTTGATGCAAAGGGAGCCAACAAGGGCCATTATTGTAAAAGACCCTGATGGCTTGTGCTATGTAGCTGAAAGCATTTCTAATTAATATGCAAGGCCCTTCAGGAACATTGCACAAACATTTGTATTTTCTTCAATTGACCTTCCCCTGTCCTTTACAATAAACACACTTGGTTCCATTAATTCACTCTCTCTACTTAGCTGGGATATCCATCTTTTGCTCTTGGAAATCAGCACTCTCTTTTTTAAACCTTTGGACTCAGATTGGGATTTKCAACATTGACTTACATGGATATCATACCTTTGAGATCAAATTGAACCACACCCATYGGCTTTCCTGGGCTTTCAACTTACAGGTGGCACATCACAGGACTTTTAAGCCTACCTAATTATGTGAGCCAACTCCTCATAATAAATCTCTTTCTGTATACCTATAAATATCTTATTGTTCTTTTTCTCTGAGTACTCTAAAACACATTACATTGTAATTTTTTATTTGTCTTTCTTGCACCAGACCTTGAACACCCAATGAAAGAATATTTTATTCATCATTGAATCTTCATACCCTTAAACAGTAGCTGTTGCATTGTTAGCACTCAGGAAATACTTCTGTTTTTCCTAAAATATATCTGTGGTCACAATATATTATGTTATTTACATATTTTAAATAGAACTGGTATAAATTTAGAAAATTCTTTAAAAAATAATAATAAGCCCCAAACTAATAATAAGGCTCAGTCAATAAGTGACATCAATCATTTTAGGTGGTGATAAAAATCATTTGCTCCCTCTTTCTTTTTGACAAGATATGCAAATATCTTCTTCTCATTCATCTATAGCAATTTATACTTTAAAAATGTCTTTTAAAATTTCTGCTAAAGGCACACGACTCTTATCAGATTTGAACATAGGCTGTGATGTTAGTTTTCCACATGATAACATTCTTTGGTTCCACCATCAAAACTAAGTTGGATTTTTGAGGCTGTAGGAGATATTACTGGGAATGTTTTCAGCAGTATCACACACCAAGAATCATTTATCCTGCTAAAATTTTAACATATGCATGAGTGTCAGAGAGACCATAGGCTAAATTCATGTAAATTGCTTTCTAAGGTGAGTATCAAAGTTGAAAAAAAAATTAAAGGATTGATCTTTTCTTTAGAGCCCTAACACTCTGAAGGAATACAGACCTGAAAACTACAGAAGGTTCCTTGATTACTTGCAGTTCATTTCAATTGTCAGCTCTCTATGAGAACAGCATGTGCATTAATCAGTTCAAAGCAGACATATGCTGCTGTTAAAAATTGATTGTATAATAATATTGATCTATTAACCATGCAAAATTGCATTGCATACTATTAATTTCAAGATGTGAAATTTAGCAGCATATTAGATTAAAAATTTCTCTTTTGACTTAGATTTGAAGACTAGGTGCAATGCCCAGTTACTGTTCTCAGCTCAAAATATCTACTCTTTCTACTGCTTTTAATCATCTTCATCCCATTGCTATCTTCAATTTTATCTTGTTCAAATTTTACCAGTTGCCTAAAATAYTTTTTAAGCAAAGGAGGCACAAATACTAAACCAAACTTTTTAAATTAAAGTCTACTTTACTAGAGGCCTCTAGAGGTGTTTGAAGAAATTTAGCACAAAACTTTTCAAGATGTCAGGCTGCTGCTTCCCAGGGCTCCAGTGGCACTATTTACTTACCTATCATCTCTGTGAAAAGAAGGACCCTGGAGTGGTACAATACACTGTGCACTCCTTCATATGAAGGTGTACACTCTCTCTCTGAGTGGAGACAGATGTTTCTGTGGTAATGTTTCTCTAAGTAGTATTTGCATAAGAGCAGAATTTCTAGAAATATAAAGAATTACCATCGTGAAAATCATAATCCTACTTACCTGAGCTGTGGTTTCCTGCCAACAAGGTGGGGCTCACCGAGCACCTTCCCATCCTACTGGTGACCACAGGTGGACCTGGTGTTCCATCCCATTCCTGAGCTTTGACAGGCTCTCTGGAGGATGATGACCCGTGGTGCCCTCTCTCTTTGCTTTCCAACTTGGGCAGTGGCTCTGTGCTATGACTTCGGACTTTCAGCTCCTCTGTGGATTCTGTGGATTAACAAAAATACCTTCCATTAAACAGAAGCCAAATCTTTCCTAAATTTCTTTTAAGAAATTAAAAAGTTGTTTTCTAAAACACTTCCAATATGTTGTAGAGAACTTATACTTGTGTTGGAAACTATAATATTTAAATGTAATAGGGACACAGATCCCATGAGATCTTTTTCTCAGRTGAATAGGTCAATATCACCAGAGGGAGTATGGTTTTTTCTTTGAAAAATGAAACTCAAGTCTTCTTTAATAACTCTTCCCTTGTGCTCATCTTTAAGGACATTTCTTAAAGAACAATTTACATCTATTATTGACTTTCTCATCTTTCATTTACTTTACTACCCTCTGTGACCTGAATCAGCCCAACCACTCCACAAAACCTATTTTCTCTAAGATCACCTAGCACCTTCTAGTTAATGAATTTAAAAAAACATTTTCATTCAGTGACAATTTCTCCATCACTCATCGATGTGCATGTTTGATTCTTTTGCTTTCACTGATGCTTCCTCTTCCAGCGTTTGGTTATCTATGTCTAACGCCCTTTTTGTAGAAATCAATACAAAATACTTTCTTTTCCTCCACACATCCCTGATACATTAGTTTTTCAAAGGTACAAGCTTAGCCACAATCCTTCTCATTCTCTCTACACTCTTTCCATGATTTTTTTTAAATTTTTTTTTAATTTTAATATTTATTTTTTAGTTTTCGGCGGACACAACAGCTTTGTTTGTATGTGGTGCTGAGGTTCAAACCTGGGCCGCACGCATGCCAGGCGAGCGCGCTACCGCTTGAACCACATCCCCAGCCCCTTTCCATGATTTTATTCCGTGGGGCTCAGCTAGCAATCATCTGAACGTTAGTGATTGTTGATAGTTTATCAGAAGCCTGGACAACTCTTCTTAGATTTCAGTTCATTTATCCAACTACCTGTTAAGTAAGTCCACCCAGATCTGCTGTGGATAACACAAATGCAACATTTCAGATACTGAACAGATAACATTTCTCCTTAACCTAAGAGTCCCTCCTGTCCAGCTAACCAACTGTTCTATAAGTTTTTATCTCCCGTTCTTTAATTGCTACTGTCCAAACCCATCAGCAGAACATTGTGCAGATTTTATTTCTGAATGTCTTGTTTCCCCTTCTCTTCTACTTTGTATCATATCTACCTCAACTGCTCCTGTTCAAGCTCTAATCATCTCCTTTGAATTATTGCAACTTGCTCTGTCTTTGATTCCTCCAAGTASGAACTCCTTATACTGCCAAAGTCAACTATTTAAAATGCAAATCTAATCCTTTGAGAAGTCTCCAGTTACCACAGGGTACTGACTAAGCTCCTTACTATGGCCCACAAGAATCTTTGCCAACTTGCTCTTCCTTTCCTAACTTTGTCACTCTCTATTGATCACTGTTACTCAATCAACATTACTAAAATGGTTACAGCTTCTTCTTCCTTCTCTACCTCCAAGAAATACATGCTGTCTTTCACAACTACTTACAAACTTTCCTGCTTAAATATATATAAATTTTGTCTGTGCTCAGTAACTACTCAATGGGTTACTCAATTTAAGTGTTTTCTTGAAGCTCACTACCTCCACCTGGTTATGGTCATCTGTTCATGGACCTTGCCTTACATATCTCTGTATCTATCTGCTCTCCTCAAAAGGCTATGGAGTTCTTGGATGCTAGTTTTCACTTTCCTAGCACCTAGCATTCTTTTCAATAGATATTTCATTTAAGTAATTCATTTATTAAATAGGTTTCTCAAATCTTTAGGCATTGTTCTGATATGTGTAGGAAACACAGTATTTCTACTGGAACAAGAGCATCAAGTGATAATATATGAATTAAAGGGCATGCAGCTGATAATATTTTCAAAATCTGATTATCACAAGTTGTAAAATTCAAGTTTTGAGTTTAATTCAAAAAATAAATTTCTGAGAAAAACCAAAGTGAATGACTCAAGGCCACAGAAATGATTCAAAGCACCCATATTCTATTGTTTCTACTTTTAGGTTCAAATACTCATCAACTTTCAGCAGGGTGACAGCACAAATGTCACACTTTGGTCCCATCATCTGAATCTGTAGGAAAAACAGTAGTTGTGCTATACCGAGCAGCTGTGATCACGAATCTCAGAGGCCTCTGCTCTGCAGCCCTGCCTGGTGACCCCAGTGATGTAACATCTGGTTTCTCCTCCAGGAGCCTCATTTTCAGAAGTACAAAATGGGATGATGCCAGCCCTGCCTAACTTCTTTGGTTTTATTTGAATAATTTAACAATATTCTACATTTTTAAGCATTTTGGAACCTAAAAAGTGACACACAAATAAAAGTAATATTCATTTAAATAAATAATAACCCTGCTCCTTTATGAATTTAATTTTTCTACATTTAAACTATATAATCATTAAGAAATGTTATGTACAAATGGAAAGTTCCCAGATCACATATAAAAATGGAACTCTAATCCATTATCTGTAATAACCTGCCCAGGAAGCCAATCTCTGCAGTAAAAGCCAGACTGGTAGAAAGTCAGACCACTCTATCTAGCTACTAATCCAGAAGCCAAACAGTAGCCCATGTAACAATTGGCCTCAACTGGTCAAGACTAGAGATACRGTTTGGATATGAAGTGTCTCCCAAAGACTCCTTTGTTGAAGGAGATGTTCAGAGATTAGGCTTTTAGGAAATGATTGGATCATGAGAACTCTAACTTCATTAGTGGATTGATCCACTTGATGAATTAATAATTTGAATGGACTATTGATATTAGGGGACAGACAGAAGAGGATGGTGGGAACATGAGGTTAAGAGAATAATTCCAAAATATTGTCTCACCATGATGACCCCTACATACTTTCTTTGCCATACAGCAATTTACCTGAAGCCCTGCCTGGCTTAAGTAGGCAGGATATGTCACAAACCTCAGCAAACTACCTGTTATCTGCAAGGGAATGCAGGCATGAAATAAGGACAATAAGAGAAACACAAGTTATTCTGAAGGGAGAGGCTCTTGTGATCCTTTTCATTGACCATATTCCAGAAGACAAGGATAATTCATTTTAACCATAGAATCTATAAGAAGGTATGGTGAAGAATTCAGTAAGAACTACTCAGCATGGGCCAAGGGAACCTAGAATTGTCACAGCAATAGGTACTTGAAAATCTGATACCATCTTGCTGTCAGTCAAAAGTCAAGAGGTGGACCTGGGCAGGACTCTCTGGAAACTTCTCTGGGATCCCTAATAAAACTAYAGAGCAGAAGAGGTATAYTGTTCCTCTCCTCTCTGAGAGATTCCACTCTCTCCCTTGAGAGTGTCCCCTTTCCTTTCTCCTAACCCTTCAATAAAATCAATCCCATTACTCTGAGCAACATATCTGAAATCTTTCTAACTTGATAGCAAGAATCGGGGTTTGAAGGGGAGGTCTTCATGCTGCCTCAGTCACACCGAAGACCTCAGCTTTGTAATATTGGAATGTCGTGGTAATTGTGGGATGTGGGGCCTAGTTGAAGGGAACTGGTTTCGGAGAGGGGGGATAACCTAGAAAACGGCTTCTTTTCGCATGTACCTTCTCTCTCCCTGCTTTCCAAGCRCAGAGAGAGAGAAGGGACATGCTATGAGCTGAGCAGCTTTCCTCTGCCACTTGCTTTCCTTCTGCCATGAGGTCCTGCCTCTCCTCAGGCTCCAAGCAAGGAAGCCAGATGACCCTGGACTGAAACCTYTGAAACTGTGAGCCAAAATAAAACGTTTTTCCTTGAAGTTGTTTATGTCAGGTATTTTGGTCACAATAATAAGAACCTAATACAAGTGCACTAAAAATGAGTCATTTTCACAATTTTTGCTCCAGCATCCAACTAAGAACAAACTAAAGAAAGACAAAGACGCACATTTAACCAATCACAGGCCAGGCTCTATTTCTGGTTAGCATAATTCCCACTTCCCCAGGCTGAGAGCATGCAGTCAGGGCATACCTGAAGCCTTCCTTATGTTAAAAGGAAAACTTCAGATAAATTAAATTCAGTAGAATTCACCTAAGCAAAGACGTAATTCATGAATTGGGCAGCAACCTGAACCAGTAAAATTTCAGAGAGCTTCATTCAGTGATGTGAGCAGGCAGTATTTATAGACGGATAAAGAAAATGACATGYAGAAATTTGCTACATTTCCAGCATTGGACATGTTTTGGCAGTTATAGCCTGTGATTAGCTGAAAGCTTGGCTGCTATGATTGGCTTAGGCTCTGCTATTTGTTATAAGTATATAATCTTAAGTTAGGTTGCAGTTTGTTTATACACTAAGTTAGATTGTAGGGAGGCATCTTTAGGCTAAATTTAACATTTCTTTTTCCACTTTGCTTTCCCATTCCTCTGTCTGCCTCTGAGTCTCTGCCAAATACAAGCTCTGAATAAATAATCTCTGCCCATTTTCATTTGTCTGGTCTTCTTTTATTTTCACATTGCTATGTTCCTTCCAGCTCTAAGATGCTGTGCAGTTATGCAAATACATGTCATGAATAACATTCTATGAGATGAACTTAAATCAGGAGAGTAGTCCYATAACAACTGCAAGAATTTAGGTCTTTAAATGGACCTTTTTATAAACTTAGATTCTAGTTATACTGAAATCAATTACAAATGGGTCAAAATATTTTAAAGGTAATACATGTYAGCATAATCATTAGATAGGACAATTTAACTATCACTTGCTTTTCAGTTCAGAGACAAATAAAATGAAATCAGAATCAGAAAAGAACATCCCAGACTATTCCCAAGCTGTTTATTCACAGTTTCAAAGAAAATGTAACTATGACTTTCAAATGTCACAGCCTCAAAGCCTAATGATCCATCTGCTTCACCCCATGTTCTTGTCCACATTTTAAGCAAACCATTGGGTTTGTTATCTGCTTGTGTATTTTCTTCCATTACCAATATTGAGAAGAATTTCCTTTAAAAAAAAAAAAACAACTTTCACACACTCCTATAGAATCCTCTCTCACT